CTGTAGTCCCAGCTACCTGGGAGGCTGAGGCAGGAGGATCGCTTGAGCCCAGGAGTTTGAGGTTGCTGTGAGCTAGGATGACACCACAGCACTCTAGCCTAGGCAAGAGAGTGAGACTCTGTCTCAAAAAAAAAAAAAATACATTGTATTATAAAGAAAACCAGTGACAGAATTTTAAGAAAAAAAAAATCATCAGAATATTGGGGGTGGGGACTGGGAAAGATTTGTGACAGAGCAATATAAGTGCTTCTTTATTAAGTAACAAGATCTATTAGCAGGTATAATAAACACCATAATTTGAAGTTGTGATGAACTTTCAAAAATGTGAGATATCTATAACTGTAATGTAATGTGAAAATACCTGATTTCTACTGTAACAAAGGCATAGATAGCACAGTTATGACTGTTACTGCTGTGGTTTGTTGTCTATAATCACAATAGAAGAGAACACTCAATTTCAATTAGAGGTTAGTGAGAATAAAGATGTAATTTTTTCTTATCTATGAACATTAACCCTTTGAAATTTATCCATGGACCCTTTGAGGGTCTGTGTACTGCAGGTTAAAGCTTAGAACTCCTGAGAGGGGTTGACCCAACTGATACATGATTTAAGAGGCCACACAAGAGTGATGTTTTAAATGTTCTACTATTTAGAAAAACTGCTGCTCTGGCAAGATTTTTCAGATTCGTTCTGTGGCTTTATGTAGCCCCAAGCTCACCACAATATACTCTAGGGCTGAGGTCCCCAACCTCCCCTGGGCTGAGGACCTGGCCGCAGAGCTCCGCCCCTGCTCCCCACCCACCACCCTGTCTGTGGAAAAATTGTCTTCCATGAAACCGGTCCCTGGTGCCAAAAAGGCTGGGGACCACTGCTAGGGAACATGCACCGCAGGGTGCGAAACTGGTCCCAGGCAAATGTCAGGGGAGGGAGGGCTGACTGCAGGGGATAGGGAACACAAATGGAAAGAAAAGGAGCCCTCAAAGGAAGGCTGGAGAATGCCAGGGATAGATCTGGGATAAGATGTGCCTGTTTTGCGTTGCAATACTATTTGAAGTAATTAAAATATCCATCTTCTTGCGACTTCATATAGCCTAATATTGAAAGCCCTCCTGCCTCTATATTGAAGATTACAGAAAATAAAGGGGGAAGCCAGGACACAGAAAGACGGAGACTTTTCAGGTGATATTCTTACAGGGCTTATATCGTACACATTTAATAACCACTATGGCCCTTGGCACCAATCAAAATGGGTACCAGCTATAAACGGCTGGAACAGACCCACTGGTGTGTTCTGACAAACAGCAGTTCTGGCATCTACAGAATGTCAAATCATACGAACGTTTGATAATTCAAACAAATAAGTACAAGAGATTCTACACACACACACATACACACGCACACACACACACCATGCATTATGTTCTGGTATGCAACAAGAGCCATAACTGTCACATCATCAACCATTCTCATATTCTATCAGGCCACATTTTTACATGAAGTCCTTGGTTTCGCATGAGACAAATTCTAAGAGGCCTATCAACCACATGTATTCTAGGAACAACTTTTTTTTAACAGAAGAGCCCAATTGCTTCTTCAGAGAATAAAGAATTGGCCTACGAGAACTATTTTCCTGCCAAGGTATTTGAGACATGCTGACAAGGTAATTTCTTTGTGAACTTCTGGATTTCCACAAATTTCCTACTGTGAACTTTCCTGCTTCACTCAGGAAAACATAAATGGTGCTATATCATAAACACTTGGTATAACTGGTTTTATTTTTGTTTTAAATAGGCTTCCTTCCTGTGACACATTTACTAAAGACATATTAGCAAGTCAGCTTCCAGATTTGACTTACTGATTTTTAAGTTTTTAAAAATTTGTGAAAAAAAAAATTTGTGTACATTAGAATTACTTTTTTGGTTATATAGTTTTATGAATTTTAACACTTGCTTAGAATCTTGTAACGACCACTGTAAATGGAATAGAGAACAATTTCAACGATCCCAAATAATTCCCTTGTGCTGCCCTTTTGTATAAGAGTTAGACCCTGCCCAACACCTAGCCCTGCCCAACCACTGACCTGTTCTCTGTCTCTACAGTTTTGCCTTTTCCAGAACGTCATATAAATGAAATCATACAGAATATAATCTTTTGAGCCTCTCTTATTTCCTTAGCATGATGCATTTGAGATTCATGTCTGCTGTTGCCTGTTTCAATAGTTTGTACCTTTTTATCGCTGAATAGCATTCCATTGCATAGATATACTACAGTTTATTTATCCATTCACCCGCTAAAGGACATTTGGGTTGTTCTCAGTGTTTTATGATTATAATGTTTCTGTAAACACTTGTTTACAGGCTTTTGTGTGAATATAGGGAAAATATCCAAAAGTGGCATTGCTAGGTCATTTGGTAGATATATATTTAACTTCATAAGAAACTGCCGATCTGTTCTCCTGAGTGGAAAAAGATTTTCATCTTGCAAACCTACCAGCAAGGCAAGAGAGTTTCCGTTGTTCTGCATTCTTGTCAGCACTTGACATTGTCAGTATTTTTTATTTTAGCTATTGTAACAAGTGTATTGCAGTGTGATTTTAATTTGCATTTTCCTAATGACTACTCATGTTGAGCATCTTTTTATGTGTTTATTTGCCATCCATATATGGTAAAGTATCTTTTTAAATCTTTTGCCTATTTTTATAGAATTATTGTTTTCTTATTTTTGAGTTTTGAGAGTTGTTTATACCTTCTAGATAAAAGTTCTTTGTTGGATATGTGATTTGCAAATGCTTTCCCCCAGTATGTGGCTTGTCTTTTCATTCTCTTAACAAAGAATTTTGCAAAGCAAAAGTTTTTAATTTTGATTATGTCAAATTCATCAATTTTTTTCTTTTATAGATCACGCTTTTGGCATCATATCTAAGAACTTTTGGCCTAACTCAAAGTCACAATGAGTTTCTCCTATGTTTTCTTCTGAAAATTTTATAGTTTTACATTTTACATTTACATGTTGAATTAATTTTTGCGTACGCATGATGTATAGATTAAACTTTATCTTTTAGCATATGGATATACAGTTGTTCCAGGACCATTTGTTGAAAAGACTATCATTTCCATGGAATTGATTTTTTTT